CACTCTTGCTGCCTCTGACAGAGGGGAGGGATAGAGACAGCAAGGTGGGGGGAAGCAACTCGTCGAGGGACTAGTTGACTATCCGATAAGCTTTTCGCTGACACCCCTATACGCCACCCTGACATTTCTGATTTAAAAAGCTGAAATCATGAAACGATTTTAGAACTCCTATGACCATGAAATTGACCCAAATGGACCGTGAATCTGGTAGGGCCCTGTTTCTAAGAGGGTGACTCAGAAGAGCACTGGATGGTTTGTGAGACCGGTCACGGTGTAGCAACCTTTCCCCTTAAATCCGGGGGAACCTTTCCCCAAGCAAGGGGAAGGAGAGGGTGGCTCGTGGGGGAGGCTTGGCCACTCAGACTTGCAGAGCGCTAGTACAAGTGTCTGAATAAAGCAGTGGCTTCCCTGTGCTGCTAACGGCTCTAAAATCTCCGTAGTGGAGAGTTTGGGTCACGATGAAAGATCTTTTCCCATGACACAACGCTGCTTCCCCATACAGGGACGAAGGAATACGTCTACCTCCAAGCCAAGAGCAGCCTGTTCACCTTAGAGAAGGTGGTTCTGGTTTCGTTCCACAGCGGCTACATCTTCATCCAGACAGACAAGACCATCTACACGCCTGGGTCTACAGGTCGGTCCCGACGTTCCTCTGGCTGCGGATTCGCTGCCTCCCTTGTGCGCCAGGGGTCTAAACTCAGGGGTCAACGTTTTCAGAAGCGGCTCCTAATTCTGAGCACGCTGTGTGTTGACCTGGCGTTCAGGACTGATTTCACTGCGGTGGGGCGGGTAGGAACGCGGCCGGAAAAGGCACTGCTAATGCACAAAAAGTAGCCAGAGAAGCTATGCGACGTACTCTGGAGTGCCATCTGATCTAGCGACTAATATATTCAGACAGGCAGCCAGCTCTCCTGAGAGAGGTCTCCTGTGCTCGCCCAGAACATGTGAAGAAGGACAGAAATTGGTCCTTCGAATTGTAGCACCAAACCCAAGCCTTTGGGGGTTTGTTTCCAGAATAAGGCCTGCCCATTTCTGAGCCGCGCAGGCGGCTCCCTCTCAAAATCCACCCACCGGCCAGGGACGTGGGTTCCGTAGCGTTGGGACTGTGTTGGGAGCTGCTGGGTTAGATAATCGTCATGGTTCCTTCTAATCACTGACGTCGAACAGTCGTAGTTGCTAGTCCCTGGCCCGTTACAGCCCCAGGGCCCCCACCTGTGCCGACTGACCGCCCCGTCTTCCTCTTTCTGCAGTGAGGTACCGGCTCTTCACTGTGGGTCACATGTTGGACCCCAACTTGAAGGCGGTGTCTGTGGAGCTCATGGTAAGACGCGTGCCGTTGACCCAACTTTCCTCCTCCGTCCAGCTCTGGGCTCCACCGTTTGTCACAGGGTGACTGGCCCTTTAAGGCGGGGGAGGGGGACTTTTTTTGGGTCGGGGGCCCCCGAGCCTGCACGTGAGAAGCAACAAAAAAACGCTCGCTGAGCTGACCCTCCACCGAGAAGTGGAAAGACACGCCCCACATTCCCCTCCCACACCAGAGCCTAGAGGGGCCCTAGGCTCTGGGGTGGGGCCAAAAATGAGGGGGCCGGTGTGTGGGAGGGGGCTGCCAGGAAGTGGGCTTGGGGAGTGGGTGGTTGGTGAGTCTGGGAGGGTTGTAGGGTGCAGGAGCAGGGTGGGAGCTTGGAAGGAGCAGAGAGGGGGTATTGCAGTGGGCTTGGGATGGGGGGGGCACGGGGCTGCAGTGCTGAAGGGAAACCTTGGGGGCCAAATCCAGGCAAGCTGGAGGCCGGATCTGGCCCCCAGGCCTTAGCTCCCCATCCCTGCTTTAAGAGGAGTTAGACCCAACACTTCCTGGGACTAACCAGCAGGCTCCCAGCTGATGCCCTGAGTCAGGTGATACCTCCAATAGAAGCCCACAGCTGGAATCAAAGCCAGCAAGTAGCTCAGATTGAAACCCTGGGGCTGGAGGGAGGTTCCTGGATGTAGCTGGCTGGTGAGTTGGCCTGGGGCTGCACCTCCCAAATCGCGTACAGCGCCTTGCGCGGTGGTGTCCGACTGCCTCCTCGCCGGGCTTGGTTTCAGACTCCAGATGGGATTATTGTCGAGAAGAACATGGTGTCCTCGGTGGACCAAGCCGGCATCATCTCCAGGAGCTACAAGATCCCCGACATCGTGAAGTAAGCTAGACCGGCCGAGGGAAGGGGGTTTATAACAGGCTCTTAATATGTGAGCTTCTATTTCCTGAGACACAGCTGCACTGAGCACCCCAATCTCCGTATGTGTCCTCCCCACCACTAGAGGGGGACAAAGCGCCTCACAGAGTGGGCGTGGCTTAGACTCTAAGTGGGAGTGGCTTATGTACATCGATGTGCAGAGGTAGTTGGGATGTTAAATTTCGATTAATCAGCTAATCGAATAGTCGATGGAATTTCTACCACTACCCGATTTGTTGATAAGGGGGGGCACTGGCTACCCCCACTGCAGCTCTGGCTTTAAAATGCAGAAAGAGTCATCCAGTTCTTACTCCATTTAAAAGGCAAAGCCGCAGCAGTCTGGACCTGGCGCGAGCGGGGTCTGCTTCATCCCTTCTCGCGCCGGTTCCCGTGCTGTGCCTCTACTTCCCCGTCCCCCCCAACACCACAGAGATGGTGCTGGGGGGAACCGGCTTTTAAGCTGGCTCCCCCCAGCACTGGCTCCTGCTCCCCTCCCCTTGCTACCTCTGATAGAAAGGCAGCAAGGGGGACGGAAATGCAAGTAGTCAACTCGACTATCCAATAAGCCTTGGCTTATCGGGTAGTCGACTATTCAACTACTCTTTTACATCCCTAGATCTGGTTGTATTATATCTTGCCAACAGTTTCTCTACAACAATCTCCCTTTTTTTTTACTCCTGTCTCCCAAACGATTCTTTTTTCCTTTAATGTCACGGGTTCCAGTTTGGTGGGACCGCAATGTTAAGGAAAAGGTGCCCCTATTTACTCGTGAGCTTCCCCCGTCCCTAGGATCCCTGTGTCGCAACACCCCAGGGAGAGGCCAAAGTACAAATAGTCTCATTTTACAGATGGGGAACATGAAGCCCAGAGCGACTGTTAAGGTTCATTACATTTTTCAGTTGCTTCGCCCTCATCTGCTCCCAGTGTGACCCGATGTTTATCCGAAGAGCCCAAGACAAGCTGAGCTGAGGGAGTCTGTGACAGGGCTGGGTGTAGGACCCACGAGCCCCCCATCTCCTCCCAGAGCTGGGACTAGAACCCAGAACTCCTGACTTCTAGCCCAGCCCCCTTCTAATCACTAGACCCCATTCTTAGGCTTGCCAGATGCTTTCACCAAAAATCCCAAACACGGCAACACTTGGTTGAGCAAAAAAACAAGGAGACAAAAGTTGTTGAGCAAAAAAAAAGGGGGGGGGAGAACAAAAAAAAAAAAGGTACCTGCGCCTTTAAGAATCCCCATGCTCCTTACGTTCCCCTGCCCACACCAGATACGGCAGGGGACAAATGTCCCTGCCAGCCTTCCGTCCGAGACAGAAAATACTGAACATTTTACATGTCCAGTATTTTCTGGGGTTTTTTACCAGACAGGGGCCAGAAATAACAGACTGTCCAGGCAAAAACCAGTCACCTGGCAACTCTACCCACTCTCCACTCAGATCCAGGATACGACCCAGATGTCCTAGCTCCCAGCTTGACCCTCCTGCCCCTCCAAGAGCAGAAGACACAGCAAGGAGTCCTGACTGCCTGCCCCCCTGCTCTAACCAGTAGACCCTACTCCCTTCCCAAATCTACAAAGAGAATAGCCATTCCCAGTCCCGGGCTTTAGCTCCCCACCCAGCGGT